GCTGCCTAGTCAAAAGATGAGAGCGTCCTGGACCTCCCCGACCCTCACGCGAGTAGGTCAGAGTACACAAAACATCGAGGACGGAATCCGCATTGTTCCTCCTCAATCTGAGGTTCGACAATCGGCCTGACCCTCCTTTCGAGTACCTTAGAGTAAACTTTCCCGGGGACTTTGTCTAAAATGAACATTTTAAATAAAGTGAGGGGAAAACAAATTACTGAGTTGTAGTCATTTGAATTACTTATATTGATAGAGCAATTTGGATTAAAGTATATTGAGTGCAAATAATACAATCCTACAACATAAATGGAACTAATTTGTGTTAAGTAATTACAACCTAACTGTGTTAGGTAAATCAGTGCACACTTTAAGTAAATACAACATAATTGGGTTAAGTAAAAACAACAATTTAAGTAAATTCAACATAACTGTGTTAAGCAAATACAACATAACTGTATGATTTAGAATTTAATTAAGATGCTTAGGTAAGATTTACTTAAATGCAAGAAGTAAATATTAGTTTACTAGTCTGAATCCTATTTACTTAGCCTTGTTACGTGCAACCGGTTGACATAACTGGATTAAGTAAATCTAACATTTCATTTCTTTGAGTGCAGGGCTTTCACAAGTCTGCTCTCCACCAGTCTAAGTTTTCCTTTATGGCTGTATCACAATAAAAACAAGAGGTCAAGTAAATTGAACCTTATGCATACACATACTTCAGAACTGAAAATCATCTGCTCGTGAATCACATAATGTACTATATATTTCCACGTGCATGGTCTTAAAGATCTCCCATTATGCTATTTTTAGGCATAAATTATGGGATCAGATGTATACAAATATATAAAAACCATATCTATAATGTGGTTTGCTCAAAATACCAAACAGATCTAATGCATTTTAGACATCCTTCATATCCCTCTATTTTAGCCCTGTTAGACAATGGCTGATTCTCTGCTGGCCCCGCCCCCTTTTGAGCAGCAGGCACACTGTGAGTTCTGTGACGAGCAGGCTGTCTGCTCAGATTCAGCTAAACACTGCCGTGATGAAACGCCACCATGTTCCAAACCACTTCAAGGATTATTTCTGAAATAGTATGGGGCTCAAATGCTCTGTGCTTGGCCCCCTCCTGGTCACCCTTTACATGCTCCCCCTGGGCCAGATCATCCGCCATCATGGACTCAACTTCCACTGCTACGCTGATGTTACCCAATTATATCTCATCACTACTCCATCCTCCCAGCTCCCCCCTCAGTCTCTCATCAACTGCCTGCACAACATAAAAACCTGGATGTCGTCCAATTTCCTGAAACTCAACAGCAGGAAAACAGGGCTCATGGTTGTGGCACCCAAGGCGCTGCTCCGGAAGCTTGGTGACTTCATCCTTGAGGTTGACGGACTCTGGCCTGCTTACCACTCCCCGCACCAACCTGCGAATCTTCGGGGACAGAGCCTTCATTGTGGCAGCCCCCACCCTCTGGAACGCTCTTACCCAGTCTCGACCGGTCGTCCGGGCTGTGATTCAAGGCGACTGTACGTAAGTAAAAAAGAAAAGTAGGAGGTCTTAGTAAAAGTCGTAAATGTAAAAACAGGTTGTTTACCGACTGAAAATTATTAAACTTCTTACGTTAAACAGTCTCAAATCCAAAAAATTCTCGGTGTGAAGGGAAAGGTATCTCGTTTCTGATAATAATATTTATAAATTTAGTTTAATTTTATTTTCAACATTTAACGTAAACGAAAAAACAACGTCTTTTCGGGACACACAATGCCAAGTAGGTCCGGACTTAATAATCAAAGACTTGTAAAAGGTAACTCACAGATTCAATTTCAATATACCGAATATGAACTTGCGGTCCCGGGTCCAGACTGTCTTTAAGTTCATAAAATGCTTGACATAACTTCAGACAGAGCAGTATGTCCTACTTATAGATGCAGTAGTTTAGGGACGGGAAGGAGAAAGCAGAGAAGAGAAGAGAGAGAAGAGAAAGAGAGTGAGAAGAGTGGTGAGTGGGTGTGTGTGTGTGTGTGTGTGTGTGTGTGTGTGTGTGTGTTGTTGTGTGTGTGTGTGGTGGTGTGTGGTGTGTGGTGTGTGTGTGTGGGTGTCTGTTGTGTGTGACAGAAGGTCTATACCACCCTCTCGGAAATAGTGTGCAAACACCCTGACTACACCACCCGGACCCTTGATGCTGCACGTCTACAAGGGATGGGTACAATGTGGTCTCCGCTCAATCTTTACGTGACAAAAACAAAAAAAACAAGTCTTGAGTACAAATCGACCTGACTGTAGTAACCTCTACAGTCTACCAACATACGTTACACATAAAAATGCAAAAAATTGTTACAAGAACATCATGACAATCGCAGTACATCTTAAGTATATACAGATGTAAACTTTACTCCCTTACTCGAAATAATTTAGACGTATTAGCAGAAGTGGAACACAAAAGGTCAAAGACAACACTAACTCGTGTATACGGAGCCACGGTACCACTAGAGGACCCAATAAAAGTCTCGGTACTACTAAATCGTGTAACACGACCTCTCCCGTGGCCGAGTTTCTCCACCTACAGACACTATATTCCGGTCAAACTATTATATCTGGAAAGTTGTTTTCCGTCAGGTTCACGAAACGGTTTTACTTTGTGTAATACTGAATTCTATCACGCGTCTTTGTATAATATTACGGAAATTTTTTGTGAGGAAATCTAGTTTCTATTATTTATAACTTATTGTGCAAAATCAAGCGAGACCTGTCTCTACAGCGAGGTACGCTTCTGGACCTCTTACCCTACCAAGTAATAAAATCGTCCTCCCCAGTCTTACCATAAAACCCGGATGTGGTAGTAACGAAATATTGGCGCGTCAAAAACTTGAGAGCAACGTGTGTCCTCGGTCACATTTCTGAAGTCGTCCTCACTACACTAGGTGAAAGAATCACAATCATACTCCTGAAGCTCGTCGCCGCAGACTTAGTCGACGTCGAAAGATATCTAGAAAATACCTTGGCACTTCTGTGGTAACGTCACAGGTCAGATGCTTCTATTTTCGTCCCTCAATCAAGGGTTGAGGACGACACTGGAATCAGAAAATTAGGATCTATACAAGAAATCCACTACATCCGACTAATCATTGAAAAATACAACTGACAACTTTGAGTCCAGTCTCTCAGCTACTGATGTGGATCTAAATACCGAATAGACAACAAACTTGTAACCGTCCGCTTCGTGCGCGATTGAAAATTTTGAGGACACGAACCGGTTTGTGGTAATGGAGTCAAAAAGACACAAATTAACTTCTTTAAGTCTGTGTGGGGTCAGTAACTAAACAAGTTACGTGAATAGTCACACTTAACCTCGTATCAGAGGACCATCAGGAAATACCGAGTATACAAGATGAGTATTAACGAAAAACGACAGGGGCACCCACGAGGAACTCGATGCAAAGCACCTATTTTTGATGTTACAATATATTACCGATATATAGAATATCTAAATTAGCAGGTGTTTAGGTAAACACATCATCTTGTGAAGAGCTTGTTACACTGTACCTACAAAAATCGATTATTACCTACCTGAGGACCTTGGCTCCTTTTTACATATATTTCGGAAATCGTATATTAGAAAGTAGTGTATACATGGAAAGGTGAAACGATTACGTAACACTTTCAGGAGAAGATAATATAATATATAAAAATCTATAGTTGGCAAGACGCCTTTAAGGTAAGTCACAACGAATAAATCGCTCTGTGCGTATCCTATAATTCGACGAAATTCCAAGAGTAATTACGTTTCCGAGACAGCTACTAGATTTATAGTAGTACAGGGGCCAGACACATCCTTAGAGTGGTTTCACAGCCTTGGGTTTTGGGAAGAGAAAAAGGGAGGTATGCTGGGTAGTGACTGTTTTTGCCGGGCCTCTTGTTGACTCTGCACAGGTCCTAACGCGGGCTATAGACTCATGACGGAGATATCAGTCGTTATTATCCGAGTCCCGACCGAATGTGTGGAGGCCGGGATAGTTCTTGGTAGCGACATAGCCTTCTTGTGTACGTATGCACAAAACCTGAATTATTCCAGAAACAATCTAATCGTTCCGTAACGATTTGAGTCTCCGCTGATTGGAACATGACCTCTCTCATAACATTTTTATCCGACAGTCAGCTAATTATTTATAAATTAGGTGCTAAATGCGTACAACAGTATCAATTAGCGTAATTTAGCGTATAAAAATAGACAAAATTACAGGAATCTCCTATAAAAGTCAAAAATTTATAAATAGTTGTATACCTCACCTGTTATCGAAATACGATTACAAATAATAGTAACTTGTTCCTGTTTATAGAGTATCTTATAATTTGGTTGTTGGAGACTTGTATGTTTATAGGCGGAGTTAAGTTGGACCTGGGATAGTATGTATTTATGTTATGTTTACCACACACACACAACACAAACACACCCACACACACAACACACACACACACAACACACACACACACCACACACACACACTCACACCACACACACACACACACACAACCACCACTACTAGCAACCTCGATCCGTTGAGTTCGTATACCGAGCTTGCCCCTCGACGGACCTGTGACGAGTACACGCGTGGTGATAGGCACAACTCACCCACAGAAAAGGGTGTTTACAGGGGGTGACGACCTGGACGTATTTCAAGTTCACCGAGCCGCGTCAACACCGCTTTACAGCGAGGAGAAAAAAGTAAATTGCGAGGAATATAGGCAATCGCGTCGTCGATCGTGGTCTACGATTGTTGTTGTGTTATGTGCATCCAAAGAGAGCGAAGTGTGTATGGTGTGGGAGGGCCAGGAGGCTACCGGTCAGCCCGACGGCGCATGCACCTTCCACACCAGAC